GGACAGAGTGTCGGCCTGCGGACTGAAGGGTCTTGGGTTTGATTCTAGTCAAGGGCATATGCCCGGGTTGCAGGCTCAATCCACAGTGGGGGGAGTATGGCAGGCAGCCAATCAATGGTTCGCTCTCATCACTGATGTTTCTATCTCTTCCTCTCTGAAATAAATGAATATATATATATATATATATATATACACATAATTTTTTTCTTTTAATGATCTTGCTATTATGGATATCAGAATTAGTGTATCTAGGAAGTTTGGCTATGTGGATTTTGAATCTGCTGAAGCAGCTGGAAATGCTGGAAAAAGCCGGCCTAGCTCAGTGGTTGAGCGTCAACCTATGAACCAGGAGGTCACAGTTCAATTCTGGTCAGGGCACATGCCTGGGTTGCAGGCTTCGTCACCCGTGTGGAGCCTGCAGGAGGTAGGCAATCAATGATTCTCTTTCATCACTGATGTTTCTATCTCTCCCTATCCCTTCCTCTCTCTGAAATCAATATAAATATATTTTACAAATAACAATCCTATCTAATAAAAGACAAAAACGGTAATTAACCATACCTCCACTACGCTTCCCATTGGCTAATCAGGGCGATATGCAAATTAACTGCCAACAAAGATGGCGTCCGGCAGCCACGCAGCTGAAGCGAACATGAGGTTTGCTTGCTCCAGTGATGGAGGAAGCCAAGGTTCCCTGCCTGCCGCAGCCAGGCTCTGAGCCCGAAAGCAACAATGTTTCAATTATAGAAGCTAAACAAACCCCAGATACCTGCTTTCAGCCGGCCGTGGCCTCAGAGCTGGGAGCGCCAGTGACGGCAACAATGTTTCAATTATAGAAGGTAAATAAATCCCAGAATAAAAAAAAGAAAAAAAGGAGAGGCTGGGAGCTTCAGTCGCTGGCCAGCCTGAAAACAGCCCTCAGCCCCTCACCCAGACTGGCCAGGCAACCCAGTGGGGAGCCCCACCCTGAAGGGGGTGTGACCAGCTGCAAACAGCCATCAGCCCTCACCCAGGCTGGCCAGGCACCCAAGTGGGACCCCCACCCTGATCCAGGACACCCTTCAAGGCAAACCAGCCGGTCCCCACCTGTGCACCAGGCCTCTATCCTATACAGTAAAAGGGTAATATGCAAACTGACCCTAACAGCAGAAAGACTGGGAATGACTGTTCACTATGACACACACTGACCACCAGGGGGCAAACACTCCATGCAGGAGCTGCCCTCTGGTGGTCAGTGCGCTCCCACATGGGGGAGCTCTGCTCAGCCACAAGCCAGGCTGATGGCTGCCAATACAGCGGTGGTGGTGGGAGCCTCTCCTGCCTCCTCAGCAGCGCTAAGGATGTCCGACTGCAGCTTAGGTCTGCTCCCTGCTGGCAAGTGGACATCCCCCGAAGGTTCCCGGGCTGCCAGAGGGATGTCTGATTGCTATCTTAGGCCCAATCCCCCGGGGAGCAGGCCTAAGCCAGCAGGTGGTCATCCCCCGAGGAGTCCCAGACTGCGGGAGGGCATAGGCCGGGCTGAGGGATCCCCCCGGCCCCGAGTGCACAAATTTTTGTGCACCGGGCCTCTAGTAAAAAAATAAAAGTCTTTGGCAATAAAATTGAAGTAGATAAACCAAAGGGAAAAGACAGTAAAAAAGATCGAGATACAAGAACAATTTGCCTTATAAAGTTACTCAGTACGAATTAAAAGAAGTGTTTGAAGATGCTATGGAGATCATATTAGTCAGCAAGGATGGAAAGACTAAAGGGATTACTTATATTGAATTTAAGACAGAAGCTAATGCAGAGAAAACTTTGGAAGAAAAGCAGAGAACATTAATGGATGGCCGATCCACTTCCCTGTGCTATATGGGAGAGAAAGGTCAAAATTAAGACCATAGAGGTGGAAAGAATAGCACCTGGAGTGGTGAATCAAAAAACACTGGTTTTAAGCAACCTTTCCTACAGTGCAAAAGAAGAAACTCTTCAGGAAGTATTTGAGAAGGCAGCTTTTATCAAAGAGCCCCAGAACCAAACTGGCAAATCTAAAGGGTATACATTTATAGAATTTGCTTCATTTGAAGATGCTAAAGAAGCTTTAAATTCCTGTAGTAAAAGAGAAATAGAGGGCAGAGCAATCAGGCTGGAATGGCAAGGACCCAAGGGATCGCCTAATGCAAAAAGCCATCCATCCAAAACTCTGTTTGTTAAAGGTCTATCTGAGGAGACTACAGAGGAGACATTGAAGAAGTCATCTGATGGCTCTGCCCAGGCAAGCATAGACACCAACCGGGAGACAGCCTCTTCCAAAGGGCTTGGCTTTGTAGACTTCAACAGTGAGGAAGACGCCAAAGCCAAGGAGGCCATGGAAGGCAGTGAAATTGATTGAAACAAAGTTAGTTTGGACTCGGCCAAACCCAAGGGTGATGGTGGCTTTGGGGATCACAGCAGAGGCAGAGTGGTGGCAGAAGAGGCCAAGGTGGATTTGGTGGCAGAAGCTGGGGAGGTTTTGGAAGTCGAGGAGGATTCCTAAGAGGCAGAGGAGGAGGAGGTGATCACAAGTCACAAGGAAAGAAGACGAAGTTTGAATAGTTTCTTCTATCCCTCTCTTTCCCTCTTCCATTTGAAAGAAGGACTCTGGTGTTTTTACTGTTACCTGATCAATGACAGAGCCTTCTAAGAATATTCCAAGACAGTATACAGTCCTGTGGTCTACTTGGAAATCCATTTAGATTACATTTCAAAGGAGATACCCTGTTGTTTTGACTGGATATTCATTCGTATAAACATTTTGAAGAGATGAGTGATAGAGCTAACCCTTATCTGTCAGTGTTGAATTTATGTTGTTTCTTCTCATGTACAAAACCATTTTTTCCCGACAAATAGTTTTGTTTTGTTGTTTTGTGTGTGTGTGTGTGTGTGTGTGTGTGTGTGTGTGTGTGTGTGTGTGTTGGGGGTATAATGGAAAACAGAATGTCTTATCATGATTTTGCTTCAGCAGCTTTGGGACAAATTAAAAGTTCTAAGCTCTGAAAACAAATCAAATAAAATAAAACAAACCAGGTCTTCCTAATCCTTCTCTAAAAGCAAATTCAAATGCCTTCAGTAGCAAATGAAGATTTGGGATCACAGGAGAGTGGTGGGATCACAGGAGAGTGCATGCCCTACATAAAGCATTCAAATTCAACCTATAAAACAACTTTTCAACCAAGAAAAGCAAAAAGTCTGAGGTGAGATTCTGCCCTACATGTCTTCCTATTCCTCACACTCTCCAGAATGACCTCACCCATTCTCATGGCTCCAATATTCAGCTCTACTTTGGTCACTCCAAAAGCTCTACTTGTATCCAGATTTCTTTTCTGAACTCTAAATGCATATTCCAACTGCTTAGAGGACATTTCTATTTAGATATCCCAATGGCACTTCAAACTTAACATGGCCAAACTAAACTCATGACCTTCTCTGTCCATATACCTGCACTGTTCAGTGTCTTCTATATTAGTGAATGCCCCCACCATGTGCCCCATCATCCAAGGCAGATACCTAGAACCCTAGTCTCCTCTTGCCTCACATACCAGTTTAAGCAACGCTGTCCTACCAATCTTACTTCTAGAATCTACCCACTTGACACTACGCCTAAAGACACCACAATAATCTCTTTTCCTACAAGTACAAGAGCCTTTTAATTTGGTCTGTCTTCAGTATAGCCATTATGATCCATTCTCTAAAATACAGTGAGAAAAGTCTTTCCAGAATGCAAATCTGATCAAATCATTCTGCTGTTTATACCTTCAATGAATTTCTCTGCCCTTAAGAAAAAGCAGGTAGATACTCCCTTAACTGGCCTTGTTTACCTCTGCTGCTCAAACTCTTGCCATACCCCTACCCCCACTTAGTGTTTCTGCTCAGCTCAATTTCTCTCTAGGTATCTGAAACTTGCTGTTCTCTCTGCCATACTTTTGTAAGCTTTATCTCCCTGTCTGATTCCTACTCATCCTTCTCCTTCTCCTTCTCCTTCTCCTTCTCCTTCTCCTTCTCCTTCTCCTTCTCCTTCTCCTTCTCCTTCTCCTTCTTCTTCCCCTCACTTGAGGATGTTTTTTTCATTGACTTATTTTTTTAGAGAGAGTGGACGGGAGAGAGAGGAGGGGAAGAAAGAGAAACATTGATGGGAGAGAGACGCATTGATTGCTTACCTCCTGTTTGCTCCCCGACTCGGGCCAGGGACCAAACCAGCAACTGAGATACGTACCCTAGGCTGGGAATCAAACCAGTGACCCTTTGGTCTGTGGGCCAACACTCTAACCACTGAGAAAACCAGCCAAGGCCCTATTCATTCTTTAGATCATAATTTTTAAAAAAATATGTATTTTATTGATTTTTTACAGAAAGGAAGGGAGAAGGACAGAGAGTTAGAAACATCAATGAGAGAGAAACATCGATGAGCTGCCTCCCGCACACCCCCCACTGGGGATGTGCCCGCAACCAAGGTACATGCCCTTGACCAGAATCAAACCTGGGACCCTTCAGTCCACAGGCTGACGCTCTATCCACTGAGCCAAACCAGTCAGAGCTAGATCATAATTTAGGAGTCATTTCCTTCAGGAAGGCTTCCACAGAACCTAGTGCTGCCCTATCATAACACTTCTATAATTGTTTGTTTACTGTCTTCCTAAATAGTAATCTCTACACCTGGAACATAGCAGGTATACAGTAAATTTCTGTTGAATAAATGAATGAATATTGAACGAAATGACATTAATAGGCCTACTTGAGCTTTAGAATTAAACCAATCCTAGTGCTTCTTACCGCTCTCCCTCCTTTTTTTTTAAATTTAGAAAGATATCTCTTCAGAAGGATTTTCTGACCCCAAGGTAGGGCTCTTGAATACTGACCCACTTTTTTTTTTTTTTATGAGAGTGGGGAAGACACTCAGAACCACTGTCTGTAAGGCGTGGCAAAGAAAACAGCAACAAAGAGAGCCAAGCTGCAGCAGATCTGGTCCACCCTGAGCTACATACCCTGTAGGAGTGGAACAACTCTATGGCGCGGAGCACATCAAACTTCCGAGCCATGAGGAACTTTACAGCCACATTCCAAGAAAGAGGGGAAACGTTGTACTGAACTGTCCACTTGTTAATCTCTTCAAGAAACTCTTTGGTGGCCTGTTTAACAAAGAAGATAAAGAATAATGAGTAAGTAGAGAACATATTTACTGAAACAAAAAACAAACAAGAAAAAACCCAATCAATCTTTCCCCCAAGCAGGTCTGAAACCAAAGTTTACTACAGGGAGCTAGTGAAGACAAATATTTGAAACCAGAAATAGTGAAAATTCATTACTACAATTCAATGAGGCCAGATAAGGAGACAAGGATCCCAAATGAGATTCAAACTATTGGCCCCAAAACAAAAAAACAACAGTTCGTTTTTCGTTGTTTTTTTAAGGTTAAAAAAATTCGATGGGCCCTAGCTGGTTTGGCTCAGTGGACAGAGCGTCGGCCTGTGAACTGAAGGGTCCCAGGTTCAATTCCAGTCAAGGGCACATTCCTGGGTTGCTGGCTTAATCCCCAGTGGGGGGCATTCAGGAGGCAGCCAATGATTCTCTCTCATCATTGATGTTTCCATCTCTCTTTCCCCTCTCCCTTTCTCTCTGAAATAAATACAAATATGTTTAAAAAAAAAAAAGTTAGATGGGCCTTCTGAAGGGTTACTGCACAATGGGGAGTACAATACACTGGAATTAGCAGTACTATCTGAGAACAACAAAACTGTTAGGAAGAATTTAACAAATCAAAAGGACAACTGTTCTTTGCAGCTGACTGACCCCACAAGACCTCTTCATGCTTCACATGACAGCCCAAAACCAGACACTAGTGCCCAAAGAGTCATTAACAGCTGCTCTGGATACTGGTTTGGGGGAGGGGAAGTGGTGGAGAGCCTAATATTGGGGGAAGAATGAAAATTTTTCATTTTCACTGTATGATAACAAGCTGGGAAGATGCCTGTTTTTCCAATCTCTTCATTAAACCATGTCCTTTTATCCTCTTTCACCCTGTTTCTCCTTACATTTTTTAAAAAATATATATTTTATTGATTTATAGAGAGAAAGGAAGAGGGAGAGAGAGATAGAAACATCAATGATGAAAAAGAATCATTGATTGGCTGCCTCCTGCATGCCCCCTACTGGGAATTGAGCCCACAAACCAGGAGTGCGCCCTTGGCAGGAATAGAAGCTGGGACCCTTCAGTCCGCAGGCTGACGCTCTATCCATTAAGCCAAACCAGCTAGGGTTCTCCTTACATTTTTAACCAGTTTCCATTCTAGCGGTGCTAACTTTCTTTTTCTTTTTTTTTAATTAAATCTTTATTGTTCAGATTATTACAGTTGTTCCTCTTTTTTCCCCCCATAGCTCCCTTCCACCCGGTTCCCACTCCACCCTCCGCCCTCACCCCCCACCCCCCACTGTCCTCATCCATAGGTGCCGATTTTTGTCCAGTCTCTTCCCGCATCCCCCACACCCTTTTCCCCCCCAAGAATAGTCAGTCCACTCCCTTTCTATGCCCCTGATTCTATTATAATCACCAGTTTATTCTGTTCATCAGATTATTTATTCACTTGATTTTTAGATTCACTTGTTGATAGATGTGTATTGGTTGTTCATAATTTGTATCTTTACCTTTTTCTTCTTCCTCTTCTTAAAGAATACCTTTCAGCATTTCATATAATACTGGTTTGGTGGTGATGAACTCCTTTAGCCTTTCCTTATCTGTGAAGCTCTTTATCTGACCTTCAATTCTAAATATAGCTTTGCTGGATAAAGTAATCTTGGTTGTAGGTTCTTGGCATTCATCACTTTGAATATTTCTTGCCACTCCCTTTTGGCCTGCATAGTTTCTGTTGAGAAATCAGCTGACAGTCATATGGGTACTCCCTTGTAGGTAACTGACTGTCTTTCTCTTGCTGCTTTTAAGATTTTCTCTGTCTTTTGCTCTTGGCATTTTAATTATGATGTGTCTTGGTGTGGTCCTCTTTGGATTCCTTTTGTTTGGGGTTCTCTGCGCTTCCTGGACTTGTAAGTCTATTTCTTTCACCAGGTAGGAGAAGTTTCCTGTCATTATTTCTTCAAATAGGTTTTTGATATCTTGCTCTCTCTCTTCTTCTGGCACCCCTATAATTTGGATGTTGGTGTGCTTGAAGTTGTCCCAGAGGCTCCTTACACTATCTTCGTATTTTTGGATTCTTTTTTCATTTTGTTTTTCTGGTTGGGTGTTTTTTGCTTCTTTGTATTTCAAATCTTTGACTTGATTCTTGCGATCCTCTAGTCTGCTATTGGAACTCTGCATAAATCCTTTATTTCAGGCAGTGTATGCTTAATTTCTAATTGGTCCTTTTTCATAACCTCGAGGGTATCACTAGATTTTTTGAGGGTCTCACTACATTTATTGGTGGTTTCTGGAAAGTTCTTGAAAAACCTTAAAAGTGTGGTTTTGAACACTATATCCAGTAGTTTGCTTTCCTCCATTTCTGTCATTTGTGACCTGTTTCTTTGTCTCCGCATTTTTTATGCTTCCCTGTGTTGGTGGGGTGGCTTTGTGTGCTAGGTGTCCTATAGGGCCCAGTGGCTCAGCCTCCCCAATTACCTGAGGTGGACACTCTTGGTGCACCCCTTTGTGAGCTTTGTGCAGTCTTGTTGTGGTTAAGTCTTGATTGTTGTAGGTATCACTGAGTGGAATTGACCTCCAGGCCTATTGGCTGTGAGAATCAGCTGTGTCTACAGTGGGAGAATTTCTGTGCTGAAGACACCCTTCTGGGGCAAGACTTGCTTCAGTGGGGCTTTGGTGCTCACTGAGTCTGCCCCCTTAGTGTGACACTTATGGATCTGAGGAGTTGTAGTCTGGATGGTCCCACTCTGACCACTGGGTACACTGGCTCTTGGATCTAAGGAGGTGCTAATTTAGCTTCTGCCTGAGGCTACCCAGCAGGAGCTACAAAGAGATCTGTAGATTCCCCTTCCTTGTTTGGGGTTTGGAGGTGTCCAAATGAGGCCCAGCTGTGAAGCAATGCAAGCTGCTGTGGGGCCTTGGGCCTTCTCTTGGAAGTTCTGGGTCTGTCTGGCCCAGCTGCAGTTTGTTAGATAATTTTCACATTGCAAAGGGCCAGGGCATTCATATGCAAAAGCCTCTGCTGCAGCTTGGGTGGGGCGGGGTCTCAAGGGAACAACAGGGCAAAGCAAACAGCTATGGCTGATTCTCAGCCCTGCCCTAAGAGGCCCCACTTCTCAGTGTCCTGGTAATTGCTGCAAGCACCTTTGAGAGAAAGCCACTCTCAAGTTCCGAGTTCTACCCACTGCCAGACAGTCCAGTTTCTTCCCGTATGAGTCTAGATTCCCAGAGACTCACCCGGAACTGGAGTTCAGAGCAGTCGGGGGCTTGTGGCTCCCTCCCGATTCGAAAAGACAGCCCCATCCTCAGTCGCCAGCCCTTGCCGCGTGCGCTCAAGTCTCCGTACCTCTGCACTCCACCTCTGCAGCTCCTCTGAGACTCAGTGTGCTTTTCTCTTTCCTTCTAGTTGTAGAGTTTCCACTCAGCCAGCCTTCCTGTGGTTCTGGATGATGTCCGTTTTGTCTTTTAGTTGTATTTTTGAATTTATTGTGGGAGGCAGCAATTTCCGGTGTTTACCTATGCTGCCATCTTGGTTTCTCTGAAGACTTTTCTTTGCGGTGCTAACTTTCTGTTTCTTTATTAAGAACAGGATTTACATGGGGATTTTTTCACAAATATTCTAAATTCCTAAACCTTTTCTACATAGCTATTCAGTCCCTTCCATCCAAAAACTTTTCTCACATATTTGTCTAAAAGGTGATCAACCTGATGAGAATTTTGAAATTTAGTTGATCAACCAATCAATCCACAGTTAAAATGTATTTGTTTAGCTACTAGAGGCCTGGTGGGGGTACCTCGGCCTAGCCTGTGGACATCCCGCGAGGGGTCCCAGATTGCGAGAGGGTGCAGCCAGGCAGAGGGACCCCACCGGTGCACAATAGGGGCTGGGGACGGATTGCAGGAGGGCTCCAGCACGTATCCAGCCCTTCTAACCCAGTCCTGATCATCTTGCCCAGTTCTGATTGGCTGGACCACAGCAGCAAGCTAAACTACCCGTTGGAGCATCTTCCCCCTGGTGGTTAGTGCATGTCATAGCGACTGGTCGAAAGAACAGTTGGACACTTAGTATATTAGGTTTTTATTACATAGGATTATGTTATTTATTAATTACTTGCTAATAGTTATGCTAAGAAGTACAAGGAATACAAAAATGAGGTGTGCTTCAAAAGGTGTAAGACCAACATACTATGTGATCTTGGACAAGGTAGTTCTCTTTACCTCTAAATTTTCTGTTGAAAACACAGGAGGAGAAAAGGTAACAACAATGACCTATTTTGAGAGTCTTGGCAATAAGTCCTAGCAAGCAAATACAATCCAAATTGCTACATATGTGTTTAAACAAGTAGCAAACTAGAGTCCCAGGAGAGTTAGCAATCCCTCGCTACAGAGCACCTGATTTATTCATCCCCTAATTTCTAGGAAAGAAAAAAGGCACTTTATAAACCAGAGTGAAATTTAAGAGGACTGAGGCTGCATCTGAGCTTTAGAATCTTCCAAGTGAGGCAACATAACTTACAATACTGAAAAATGAGAGAAGTAAAATGAATCAGGCAAAGTGCACAAAATGAGCCAGGAAATAAAGGCCATGAAGAAAAGCTTTCACATGATCACTTTGGCCCAGAACCAGTTCAAGTTAGACCAGAGAAATGAGTCCCAGAGAAGAAAATAGGACAAACTTAGAACCACCCCCAGAAAATAGTTTGAGTAGCCTTGGTGGGGTGAGTGGCCAGCATCAGAATGAGGAAACACTGAATGGAAAAAGAAGAGAGGTAGGCACAGAAATATCCCAGAAACAAAACTTCAGCCAGCTCTGAAGTTCCTCAGATTTTGTAAAGGGTGTGTGTTTTTAAATTAACCTATCATCTTTCAACTCCAGCCCTCTCCTGAGTATTTCTGAAGCTGCTTGTAGAATAAGACACCAGAATATTGGTAGAATATTATTTTCCTCTTTTTCTAATAAAAACAATAGACAAATCAATATGCAGGCAGGAGGTAAATAAA